ATTCCTGAATTTCTAGGAAGGCCGTGTTTCCCAAAGCAGCGATTTCTGGTAGAAGACTAAGGTCTGATCCAAGAAAAATAAAATTCAGTATAGCCAATGAATTAAGGACAAGAAAGTTTCCATTCAGGTAGGAACACTGCATATCACAGATTCAACCACCTTAAATAGAGTGTGCTGATGCTAGACATGGTATGTCTGCTTGGAAAAAGATGGGGCTGTGTTCAAGTCCCTAGGAGGCTGTGGTGTTTACCAGAGAATACCTTGGAGGAAAGGGGATACAATAACAGTATGATGTTTTATTTCCATTTTTAGCTCATTGTTGCCAGTACACGAGTGATCTCAGGGCCTGTGGTTTAATCCCTAGAGTGTAGGTATGTGGACAACAGATGAACTCCTTTGGCATTTTTTTTTTCTAAGACAAGTCATTTTCCTAAGTTTCTCCATGACCTAGTTGTTTATTAAAATTAAGTGCCATGATGACCTCAAGTCTCCTAAGTGGGGAGCAGCCCAGTGAATGGTCTGAGGACATTGACTGGTTTATTGCGGGGTACCTCTAGTCTTACTCTCAGCATAGAAGGGAGCAGAATGGGACTGGGAAAGGGGAAGTCTGCTTTGACTACCTATGTATGTCAAACCACACTCACCATTTTATCTTCATTAGCCATTTGAGATAAAGGGAATAACGGAGGTATCCCAAGAAAAAAGATCCCAGTGACATCAAAATCAGGGCCTTTTCATCTCATTCATTATTACATCCTCAGGCACTAGCTCCTGACTCCTAGGTAGTGCTCATTGTGGAACCATTAACATCACATTCCTGCAATCCAATGAGTAAATTAAACTAATTGTTTTCAACAGTTTCTTAAATCAGCAGTCTCTTAGAAAAATGGAAAACTTATCTTTAACTGCAAGAAACCTGGGCAGTTATTAGTTAAAGCAAATGTGTTGCCCTGTAGACCTACACCTGGCTATAAATAGCGGTCAGACTTGAGAGCCCCCGGACACTGAATGCACTTCCTATATATAGCTTTTCCTCTCTCCAGAGGCTTTTAGAAAAATGCTATCTTTCGTGAAAACTTGGCCTTTGTAAAGGGCATAAAAACACGAAGGCCAGTGGTTCTTAGACCTGGAAAAGATTTGCAATATTTTCCTTAGTCTGGGAATCCATGTGTTGGAGGCATGAAAACTGAAACTCAAGGAAGTTCATTCAATACAGTGTTTTGCCCAGCATCGAATGGCAAACAAGGAACAATGGTGGCACTCAGCTCTGTCTTCTAACTCCCCTGAGAGCGGCAGAGAGTACATTGCAGTAGCAGCTTATTTTCATTGTCCACAACCCACATTCCCACTATGCCTCAGCCCTTGTGCTTCTTTATGAAGGATAGGATAACATTATTTGTGAACCTGAGCCATAATTACATGTTTAAGTATTCGCCTTTTATAACTAAATGCTGTCTCTGTTAAAAATGTATGGAAGCACACTCTTCCTTCTCTACATGTCTCCGCCTGCGTTTATGACCTTCTATTGTTGACAGCTGAACTGGAAAAGATAAATTAAAGGGTTCTTATGTATTAAATATTTACTTCATACCCTGCAATGTGCACAGAATCCTTTCCCCTGAAATTTGGAGCACAAACTAGAAACTAGAAAATCTTCATACCCAGGCAGTTTTTCCTGCAGTCAGTGGAAAGTTTTCACTTGGAGATATTTAATTTCTGAACCCATTGTAATTCTTCATCAGATAAGTTGTTTTGTACTTGTTAAAACCAGTATTCAGTACTTTAGTTTCTTGAATGTTCTTGATAATAAAATATAGTCATAATGGTAATTTCTGGTACTGACAATAGAGTTGATAGTAGAGACGTAAAGTGATTTTTTTATAATGTAAAAAATGTCACGATGTTTTCCAGATAACCTGATTCATGGATCAAAATGCACTTATTATTAATCCCCCACTTTACAAAAAATTTTAAATTTTATTAATATAATGATTTTACCACATCTTTTAATTCATGTTTTCAGATACTTTGTTCAATGCATTATCTCATTTTAAAATGACTTTATACATTATATATTATGTAAATATTAATTTATATTTCTTAATGGCCAGATTAATACTTAATTACTCAGATTTGTTTAATTCCTACTGCTGTTCTTCAGTATTCCCTTTCTCTCTGGAGCCTATCCTACCGACTTCAGAAGCTCACCAAGTCAGAAAGTCCTGTTTAACGCGAATGGATGGACAAAGCTTTAAATAACATAGAGTGATAGCTGGGAAAAAGGCTATTAAACTTTGTGCTAAAGATCATCACTTTAATAAAGAGATTAATAAATAATGCTAACATTCAGACATATAATAAGGATGAAAACCATTAATGATTATACTGAACAATGACATTTTCAATAAAGGGAGATATTAAGTACTATATAGGAAACTAGTATTGCAAAGCAGATAAATTGACAAAGATTATACATTATTTAAAATATGTTCACACATAGTCATAGCAACTGTTTTTGTTTCTGGCTGCAAAGAGGCATATTGGAGTGTTTAAGCACTATTGCTCTTGGAATAGCTAGTTAGACACGACACAGAAAATACTTGATTGCAGAAGAGCAGATGTTAGCATATGTGGGAATGTGTGTGTTTAATGAATGCGTTTTTACTCATTCAGGAAGGAAAAGAAGGCCATACTTACTTTAAACGTGGCATGGGGAGATGTTAAAGTGCCGTTCTTAGACTTCTGCTGCTGTTCCTGTTCCTCTGGCATTCCCCAAAGGGTACCATCCTTCATCCATCCAAGTCAGAAGCTTGGAAGCAATCCCAGGATCCTCTTCGTAGGTCCCCTACCTTCCTGCTCCCCACCCAGTAAGCCACGGATTCCTGGCTCTCCCACAGCAGATAGCTCTCGCCAGCGTGCATTGCTCTGTCACTCCAGGCCACAGCCTGCCACTGACACACTTCTACTCCTTGTGAGCAGGCCACCTTTCAACGTCCCTTATCTTAGGCGATGGCACTTTTGGAAGCTCCACACACATTGTATTTAATGTATTAAAATGTGCCCAAATCCAAGATTCAATATCATTTATTGATAACTAACTATAGGAGAGCTGAGTGACCCTGCGGTTGATGAGAGGTACTAACTAGTGATAAAATATTAATTAAGTAGATCTTTATCTCAGTTTTGCAGGCTTTTCACACTATAGAATTAATTTTTTCTGGTGTTAAATCATTTTATAACTCACTCTCAAACTCAAGGTCTGTGGAAATGTGCTTTTCCTGTCACAAGACAGCCCTGACAGTGAGGTGTTAGATGAGGGCCGTCACGTGGACAAGAAGACCAGATACCTAAAAGGTGGAATGTAAAGTGTTTATTGTAGAACAACTAGAGGCCCAGTGCACAATATTCATGCATGGGGAGGGTGGTGGTGGAAAGCAGTGTCCTTCAGCCCAACCTGAACCCTCTTCAATTTGGGATCCCTCTCACAATCCAGGATTGCTGGATCCCAACCACTCGCCTTGCTTGCCTGCCTGATTGCCCCTAACTGCTTCTGCCTGCCAACCTGATCACCCCCTAACAACTCCCCTGCCAGCCTGATCGATGCCTAACTGTTCCTCTGCCAGCCTGATTGCCCCTAACTGCCCTCCTCTGATCACCCCTAACTACCCTCTCCTGCTGGCCTGGTCACTCCTAACTACCATCTTCTGCTGGCCTGGTCACCCCTAACTGTCCTTCCATGCAAGCCTGGTCACCCCCAACTGACCTCTTCTGCCAGCCTTGTCACCCCTAACTGCCCTCTCTTGCCAGCCTGGTTACCCCCCTCCCCTGCAGGCCTGGTCACCCCCAAATGCCTTCCCCTGCTGGCTTGGTCACCTCTAACTGCCCTCCCCTGCAGGCCTGGTCCCTCCCAACTGCTCTCCCCTACAGGCCTGGTTCCCCCCCAACTACTCTTCTCTGCAGGCCTTGTCCCTCCCAACTGCCTTCCTCTGCTGGCCTAGTCACCCCTAACCGCTCTCTCCTGCAGGCCTGGTCCCTCACAACTCTCCACTCCACTCCCCCCAACCCCTCCACTGGCCTGGTAACCCCTAACTGCCCTCTCCTGCCAGCCTGGTTGCCCCTAACTGTCCTCCCCTAAAGACCTGCTTGCACCCAACAACTCTCTCTTGCATTCCTGGCCCCTCCCAACTGCCCTCCCCTGCCAGCCATCTTGTATTCACATGGGGTGGCCACCTTGTGTATTGGAGTGATGGTCAATTTGCATATTAGGCTTTTATTATAGAGGATTATAAAAATCAAGGAAGATCCTGTGGTATCAACTATTGAGATAATATGTGTATTAGATGGTAATTTTAAAAAAACAGAATTTGTAGGGATGTCAACAAAATATCACTTTACAGATTATTGTCTCAAAAACAGAAAATAAAGTGTAGTAAGCTGTAAAACAAATATTGAAAATGGCAACTGGTTTAGTAAGTGATTAAATCAGTTCCCAGTTTCAAGACTTAATGCTTCTAAACCTTTGTTATTTCATCTTTAAAATGGAGATAATGAGAGTACCTATTTGAGAGAATTGTTGCAATACTGAACTTCTGTACCTCACGTAAACTTCTTAGTGTTATATCTGGCAAAAATGTGGCATTTTTATTGTTATTATTGATAATGCACTAGTAAACAAAAGCTGTTTTGTGATTCTTGTGATCATTGTTACTACTTGGAACAGTCAAAAAAATACTACTAGGCTTGATGTGACTTTTCATTGTAACTTTAAAGATAGAAATGTTAATAATGAGTTATTTTGAGAAGAAATATATCATTGTTCAAACATCCTTTTAAAAGCCAAATATTTATTTGAGGAAGCAAAAAACAGTCTTAGTTTAATGAAACAGTCTATATTTTAACAGCATCTTTCCTCCTTGGACTCCTCAGAGCCAGAAAAGGAGAATATAAGAGGATGATTTAGAAAGCACTGCGTTATATAACAAAGAACAGCCCCAGCCCCAGGCTCTTCATGCTCCTGTGATTTTGATGTAAATAGCCGCAGGTTCCCAGTCTGACATCAGTACTACCACTGACTGTGGGAGACACAGTCCACTTGATTAACCTTTCTCTGCTTTAGTTGCTTCAGTG